AATAATTATTATTATTATTATTATTAATTATTATTATTATTATTATTATTATTATTATTATTATTATTATTATTATTATTATTATTATTATTATTATTATTTATTACTATATTATATTATTATTATTATATTATTATTGTTTTTATAAATCATATTTCTATTTATTTATTTTTATTATTATATTATTATTTTCGCCCCCAGGCACGATATAATTGTGATCTGTGCAAGAATGGGCTAAAAAAGAAAAAAAAAAAATCGTGGCGTTGACTAGATGGTCTTTGCTCTTTTACTGGGAAAAGATGGGAGGTTGAGCACCCCTTCTGGGCCGGGGTTCCACAATGCCGAGTGGCTAGGCGCTAGCTAAGATGATAGCGCCACCAGCCAATAGATTATGGCTAGACTCAGTTTCAAAGACGGAAATTTAAAGATTAGAAGTAGGTTTGTTAAGCAGTTTTGGTTCGGTTAATCAAGTTAGGTCAGGTCAGGTTAGGTCAAGTTAGTTAAGATCAGGTTGTGCCGTGTTCCTTGTGCATTTGTTTAATCACCGCCTTAACAACATCCAACATCCTCTATCCTGACTGAGTGGTGTGAGTGGGATGGAGCTGTGAGCTGTTTCTAAACACACACACACACACACACAAAACGATAACATCCTACAAGCGAAATATGGCAGCATCAGGAGACACAAAATAACAACTTCCTACCAGCTCTTGCGTCGGACATTCCCCCTCCCCCCCCCCCAGACCACACAACGTCTAGTTACAGTATATTTTCTTGAATTGTTATCAGTGACGTCATAAATGAGGCTGACTAACGAGAAGATCTTATCCTTTTGCATCTGAAGTTACAAGGAACACTTTTTTGCATAGTTTAAAACAACTTCCTCCCCATCACCCCTTCACCTTAAGACACCTCTCTCCCCCATCACCCTTCACCTTAAGACACCTCTCTCCCATCACCCCTTTACCTTAGGATATCTCTCTCTCCCCATCACCCCTTCACCTTGGGATATCTCTCCCCATCACCCCTTCACCTTAGGATATCTCTCTCCCCATCACCCCTTCACCTTAAGACACCTTCTCCCCATCACCCCTTCACCTAAAGACACCTCTCTCTCCCCATCACCCCTTTACCTTAGGATATCTCTCTCCCATCACCCCTTCACCTTAAGACACCTCTCTCCCATCACCCCCTTCACCTTAGGATATCTCTTCCCCATCACCCCTTCACCTTAAGACACCTCTCTCCCCATCACCCCTTCACCTTAAGACACCTCTCTCCCCATCACCCCTTCACCTTAAGACACCTCTCCCATCACCCCTTCACCTTAAGACACCTCTCTCCCCATCACCCCTTTACCTTAGATATCTCTCCCATCATCTCTTTACCTTAAGACACCTCTCTCCCCATCACCCTTCACCTTAAGACACCTCTCCCCACCCTTACCTTAAGATATCTCCCATCAATCTCTTCACCTTAAGACACCCTCTCCCCACTCCCCCACCTTAAGACACCTCTCTCTCTCCCCATCACCCCTTTACCTTAGGATATCTCTCTCCCCATCACCCCTTCACCTTAAGACACCTCTCTCCCATCACCCTTCACCTTAGGATATCTCTCCCATCACCCCTTCACTTAAGACACCTCTCCATCACCCCTTCAACCTTAAGACACCTCTCCCCATCACCCCTTTACCTTAGGATATCTCTCCCCATCACCCCTTCACCTTAAGACACCTCCTCCCCATCACCCTTCACCAATCCCATCACTGTGCCTCCCTTTTAAACCAGTGATACCGCATCCAGCTGTCTGACTCCTCACTGATGAAAAAAAATCCGCCATGTAGAATTTTTTCTGGGATTGGTTCTCCGTTTAGGTGTTCAGTTCGTAGGTCAGGTGTCATTAGTACTGAAACTATAGGTAAAGACTAGTTTGTTACCATGGTTAACTGCCCTTCTGTATGTAGTTATAAAAATTATATTTTCTTGAACCTGTGAACTTATTGGAGTGTGTGTGTGTGTGTGTGTGTGTGTGTGTGTTGTTCTTAAGTAACAATAGTTGATATAAATTTGTTACTGAATACTTGATATAATTTATATATCATTAAACAATTCTTTATTTATTTATCATCCATCTCTTTATCTTGTTTAATTACTATCTAACAACACTATTAGATTTTATCATTTAAGAACATTTTATTTAATTAGCTTTTATATTTTATATACTGATGTTATTTATTTTTGTTATTGCACGACATATGTATGGTTGTGTTCAAGAGCACTGTGTGTTACAGTATGAGCTCTGTTTAGTGACCTGTTTAGGTGGTATATCAGTGATGTCATGTCAGGCGGCAGGAGGTGCTGTTGCGTCTCAGCCTTGTACACACTGTTTAATCCAGTTAAGAGAATCATATCTCTGAATCTTTTAATGTTGTTGGACTTCTATGTTACAAAGTTTATTACGCGATTAAAGACCTAACCTAACTCCAACCTAACTTAACAGTTCTATGGAAACGATAATACCTGGAACGTCAAGCAAGACCCTCAAGGCTACATCATGAGGTTGACTTCAATTATTCTGTATGTTGAGCGAATTAGCTGCTGTAATGTAGTACAAGGGCTAAAGACGCCGAGGTACTTAAAATGAGACATAGTAGTGTTGTTCTTGTTAGGTTACTGTCTTGTTTAGATGTTGACTGTGGAAATGATGACCAGGTTTTCTCACAGGCTGCGTCTATGTAGTTCACAATGGCTGTAGTATTAACTTAGCTAAGCGTGATGTTACAGTGGCTGTTCGGATTGATTTTAACAAATGCATTCTAAGTACATCTTGGGACTAACAGGAGATGCTTCTTGATTTCACGTTTGTTGCTTTGAAATAGTGCTGCAGCCTTTTGTGGGGAAAAAGATCTTATACAAGGTAACAGTTAACCTTCTATATATGTCCCTTTTACCTAGTTCGTTTAGGTGCTATGAGTTGCCAATAGGTTTTAAGTAAAGAAATGCATTGTATTGTGTTTTCTGTCCCCATAAACGCTACGAATAGAGTGACGCAGTTACGTACACTTTTATTATGTGTGAAATGTATACATGTATTTCGATTCCATATAACAGTGTGCCGAGAGCCATTCTACACAAGCGGCAGTTGAGTGATATGGGACGAAAGGTATCAAAGCTATGGTTTTAAGCACAATACTGTTGTCCCATGGCATAGGTATGTGACCTGTGGCATGGCTCGTATAGTGGATTACCAGGCTGCTATGTATTCACCTGCAGGGGCTGAAGATCCACCCGCACTATCAAGCATCCACTCATATGGAACATCACCCCTCACTGTTCCTCACCTTAGCATAAAGTTAATAAGATCCTTGTGAGCTGCCCCCTCCTCCCGTCACAACAGCTACGCCACTCACTACACCCACCCGTCGCTAAATCACCACTTGCAGATTTTACAACCCGTAAGTCCGCTGGCGTTGGCACCTGCCCTCCGCGATGGAATATTGATAACTGCTGATGGTGGTGGTAAATGTTAGGCCAGCTCATATTCTTGTCAGAGTTCACTGATATATTAGCCCAGGTTCTTCCACTCACAGTTGATTAATTTATATCACCAAAGTCGGTCATATTAAAGCACACCTCAAAGTGACGTGTGTGCCATTTAACGCTCGTAAATTTGGTTCATTTATTTCTGCTTAAGAAATCTTATTATTATTATTATTATTATTATTATTATTATTATTATTATCTTTTTTTTTTTTTTAGTAAAGTTTGTGAAGGAATAAGTTGTTGGTGTTTTTTTTATTCTATTACCGGTGCTGTGTTCTGCCTCTGCCTCCTCACTATGGGTAATGATTGCCCTAAAGAAGCACCTGTAGTGTACATCATCCAGGAACCATGGATCTCTCTTAATGTTGATGTATTTACTAACTTGGTACATATTGCTACAAGTCTACTGTTATACACACACACACACACACACACACACACACACACACACATACCAACAATATCATGCACAATTTGAACCCTGGTCACGGCCTTAAAAATGCTATGAATTGAAGATTTGGTATTAAGGCTACTATCGTCTTGGATTTCAGTGATTCATCATATAATATCAGTCAGGGTGAGGTTACGTTTACAAAGTCCCCCCTGTTCTCTTCCTAGATATCCACTACCCCGAACCCTCCTCCACCACCCCCTCCCCTCCTCATTCATCCATCACTCCAGACAGCATCAGGTAGGAAATCACATCCTCTATCCTCGCTCCTGTAGACATTGAGTGATTAATATAATTTTAATCACGGTATAAGGTATAAACAGCATTTAGAACCTATCCACTACCTTCAGCCACCCTGACTGCCTCTGTCCTTCGCTAAAGACGGCATCAATCAGGAGATCCCACCCTGTGTCTGTTCTCCTCCGCCCCCGTGTCCGTCCTCGCCGCCCCCCGTGTCCGTCCTCGCCGCCCCCCGTGTCCGTCCTCGCCCGCCCCCGTGTCGTCCTCGCCCGCCCCCCGTGTCCGTCCTCGCCCGCCCCCCGTGTCCGTCTCGCCCGCCCCATGTCCGTCTCGCCGCCCCGTGTCCCGTCCTCGCCCGCCCCGTGGCCGTCCTCGCCCGCCCCATGTCCGTCCTCGCCCACCGCGTGTCCGTCCTCGCCTCTGTAGACAGAATTTTGATCATGTAGATGAAGAAGCCTTTTTCGTAGATGATGGATTCCTTGATTTATATATGTAAATAAACAAAGGCTTATATCTATCCTCTAAGCTGATAATTATTGGTTTTTTTAATAATCTTTTTAGTGTTTCATTTGTCACGTTTCATCATTAGAAAATTGAGCACATATTAAGTAACGTTACTGATTTTATTGTTCCTCATTCATAATGCTCGTAAAATGACTTAATAAATTTTAATAAAAAACTCAGGGAAAATTGTAACTAAGTACCGCTTATGTATCGTACCTGAGATAAAAAAGTTATAGGATTTGTTAGTAATAAATTGTAAGTAACCTGCGATGTGTCCTTTATTTACAGTTTACAATACAATGCCATAACCCCCAAAATTATATCTGACGCATTTTGATATCACGTACAGAGGGGTAAATCAATATATTTCCAGTTTAATCATTTTCTACAACTATTAATTCATTCTAGTTGAATATTGACAGTTATTTTAGAGAAAGATTTTTAATACAGATGTGATTTTTAATTGTGATTTGATCCGAGAGTGTGAAGAAGTTTCTTTAAACGGTTTTTGGCTGGGTTATCCGGACCACAGCTCTCGGCGACCACTGCCAAGATCTTACTCAAAACCTTTAACTGCAAGGCCGACGCCATCTCCTCCTTTACTGTACGTTCGAGTTGTTGCTCGAGAGTGTCAATACACCAGGAAAAGCAGCCAGCTTCCTTTTTAGCTTTACTATTTCCTGGACATTTTTCCGTAGCTGGGAGGACAACTCGAGCATTTGTTCATACTCCTTTTCGTTCCTGTTAAAGTAAAAGAAAAAATTGAACTGGATGTTGATGAACTCTTTAATAACAACAGAAACAACAACACATAATAATAATAATAAAATAATAATAATAATAATAATAATAATAATAATAATAATATAATAATATACAATAAAATAATAATATAATAATAATAATAATAATAAATAATAATAATAATAAAGTCTCTTAAATATACCAGAAATTATATGGTTTTGTCATATAACCCAGAAAATTCTATACAAGCAAAAGAGTGCATTTAAGGGGAAAGTGGCATATAGGTCATGCGCATATACAGTATGGAGATGTTCTGGGTACTTGGTTCTAACTACGGAGCAAACATAAACACCTGTAGAGTTCTGTGAGTTCTATTCAACGGAAATATACAGGGTCTTACAAGCACCAGGTAGTCCTTACACTCTATAGGGTCAACTGACCTCTCTCTGACCTCTCAGGCGACATGTGGCAAGTGGTACATTAGCATCCAGATGTCGCCAGGCACTTTCTAGGCGTGTGTGACATGAAACAGGACATTGCCGCGCTACTGACTAGAGATGTAATGTATATACTGTAGAACATAAGAATGGGAGGAAACTGCAGCAGGCCTATTGGCCCATACTGGGCAGTCCCGTTTACACCAACCCCTATTGCTCATTTAAGCATCCAACCTATGTTTTGAAGCTATCCAGCGTATTCGAGTTAATGATGATATTTGGTAACTTGTTCCATTCATCCACTACTCTGTTTCCAAACCAGTGTTTACCTATTTCAAGCCAAAATCTAAATTTGTCTAATGTAAAACCATTGTTACGAATTCGCTCCTGGTTGGATAGTTTGAGTACCTTTGTAATGTCCCTTTTGTTTAACCCTGACTTCCATTTATACGCCTCTATCATGTCGCCCCTCACTCTACGTCTCTCGAGGGAGTGCAAATTAAGATGCTTTAACCTGTCTCTGTACTCAAGGTTACTCATGCCCGGGATTAATCTTGACATTCTTCACTGGATTCTTTCCAAGGATTCTATATCCATTCTGTAATACGGTGACCAGAACTGAACTGCGTAATCCAGGTGAGGTCTCACAAGCGCTAGATATAATTTTAAGATGACCTCGCTAGTCTTGTAACTAACACTCCTTTGTATGAACCCAAGTACTTTATTAGCCTTGTTACGAGCAAAAACACATTGTTTACTTGGCTTAAGATTCCTACTTATCTTTACTCTTAAATCTCTCTCGCAGTCGGATTCCACAATGGCATCGTTGTTCATCTGGTATCTGGTTTCCCTGTTTACATCTTCTATACTGAGTACTTTACATTTGTCCACATTGAATTTCATCCGCCATTTTTCCGACCATTCGAAAAATTTGTTTAGATCTTCCTGTAGTTTTGCGGAGTCCTCGTCAGATTTAATTACACGTCCTATTTTAGTGTCATCACCAAATTTACTTATGTTGCTGTCTATGCCGATATCTATGTCGTTTATGTATATAATAAATAGTAATGGTCCAAGTACTGAGCCTTCGGGAACTCCACTAGTGACGTCTCTCCAGTGGGATTTAGTGCCGTTTATGCTCACTAGCTGTTTCCTGTCCCGTAACCACGCCCTAATCCATTTAAGGTTATTACCTTTGATGCCATGCGCTTCTACCTTTCTAATTAGTCTTTCGTGGGGGACTCTGTCGAAGACTTTGCTAAAGTCGAGATATACCACATCATAATTGTGCCCCTCTTCCACCGATTCGAAAACTGATGAAAAGAATGTTAATAGATTAGTTAGACATGAACGCCCTCTTGTGAAGCCATGTTGGGAATCATTGATCAACTTGTGCTTCTCCAGGTGGTTTCGAATAGAGTTTGAAATGATTGATTCTAGTAATTTGCCTACTATTGATGTTAGATTGATTGGGCGGTAGTTAGAGGATAGTGATCTATCCCCCTCCTTGAAAATCGGTATTACATTCGCTATCCTCCAGGATTCTGGTGCTACACCTGTTTTTTATGACATGTTAAACAACTTTGCTAAGGGCATACTAAGCTCTTCCTTACAATCCTTTAATACTATGGCAAATATCTCATCGGGACCAGGTGACTTATTAGGCTTCAATTTGTCTATTTGCTTATTAACATCGTTACTAGTCACTACTATCTCGCTTAATTTCTTTTCTTCACTATCTCTGAATAGAGTCGGAGCCTCGGGTATCATGTTTAAATTTCGGTGGTGAAAACTGTTGAAAAACATTTATTCAGACTATTGCTCATTTCTCCGTCGTTATCAGTTAGCTCGCCGGTATCTGGCTGTATTGGTCCAATCTTATCTCGTGTTTTAGTTTGATACATTTGGTAGAATCTTTTAGGGTTTGTCTTCGCCTCCCTTGCTATCTTCAGTACATACATGGTATACATACAACATACATAATATACATACACAGTAGTTGTTGAGTACTATTTTTATTATTAATATTGTTGTTTTTGTTGCTGTCGTCATTATTATTATTATCAGTATTGTTGTTATGAAAGTAAGTATCGTGTTTCACCTGTCTCTATGCCACTATTATTTTCTTTCCACTTGTTACTACTACTACTACCACTAATACTAATACTGCTACTACTACTACCACTAATACTAATACTGTTACTACTACTACCAATAATACTAATACTGCTACTACTACCTAAATATCAGTGCTAATAGCAGTACAGTATCGACAATTGCGAGAGTCCATACAATACTCACTCAAGTTGGAATTTCCTACGTTCATCCTCTTTGGTATCAAGACCTGCAGATAACCCAGAGGCTCCCGAAGGTTTAGCAAGGCAGACCAATGGTAACTCAGGGTGTTCAGAGGGTTGAGCTGGTTGGCTATCAACTAGGGTGAGGGACGCCGCTTGGGAGGAGTCACCTTAGGGATAGAGATAATAAAGGTTAGGTGGGATAGGGGAGACTACAATACATAAACACCGGGAATAATTTGTACAAGAGTTCGTCAGTTTCCCCAACAGGAATGATCTGTACGAGGTTTTAGATCGAGACTTCCATTTAGACCTTTATATCTTTATTGCAGCGCTGGAGATCAGGTCTTCATGTGGCCTTGACTCGTATCTGATGAAAGTGGGTTTGTTGTATATCCCGTTTTGTTATTCTTCTCTGTTGTGTAAATATTGCTACTTTATCGGTACTTGTTCGTGTGTAAGATCTGTTTATCATTGGAAATATAAAGCATCTCAAATACATTACTGAGTACACTAGAACATTTAGTGCACCAGTAGATTCTCACTGCACTTGCTACACTTTTTTCCCGTGGTGTATGTGCCAGTTAACCGCCCTCATCCGGTTCAGGAAAACAAAAACAAAACACGTAAGATCTTCCACGTCTAGGAATTCATGGCGGCTATTTAAATATTAGAAGTTAACTATCTGAATGTTAAAATAATCAGGCTAAATGTAATGTTGTTTTTTCTCTCGTGTATAGACGACCGATGTTACATATTAATATTGCCTTCATGGTTATTGTTAATGGGAATGTGTGGGCGTATCCAACTGGCTACCTCAAGCTATGACGGAAGCACAGCCCCTTGACATAAGAACATAAGAATGGAGGAAACTGCTTCGGGCCTATTGGCCCATACTGGGCAGTCCCATTTACACCCAACCCCTATCGTTCATATATCCATCCAACCTATGTTACAGCTATCCAGCGTATTCGAGTTAGTGATGATATTTGTTAACCACTCGTCCACTACTCTATTTCCAAACCAATGTTTACCTATTCGCGCCTAAATCTAAATTTGTCTAATTTAAAACCATTGCTACGAGTTCACTCCTGGTTGGATAGTTTGAGTACCTTTGTAATGTCCCCTTTGTTTAGCCCTGACTTCCATTTATACTCCTCTATCATATCGCCCCTCACTCTACGTCTCTCCAGGGAGTGTAAATTAGATGCTTTAACCTGTCTCTATACTCACGGTTCCTAATGCCAGGGATTAGTCTTGTCATTCTCGTTCAAACTACATGGGAATAGAAAACATAAATCACGCGGCATCCTTTGAAGATCCGGGTGACGAGAAAACCTAACCTAACCTAACTCCTTCCCTCCCCACTCTTCAGATAGCATTAGGATGATTTATCTTCAGGTGAAATAAGCCGTCTAATCATTTGGTGGTTCGTATTTTGTTCACTTTGTATGTGACACAAATACAGCAGCGGAAATTGTTTTACTGTATGAACGCTTAATGAAAGTTTAAGTTGCCGGACTAATCTGTTCAGTATAGTATGTGTGATGCCATTGTAATATCACCCTTAGTATTATTGTTATATTGAGTCCACTTTACTACATATCTCCCGTGAGGATAAGACTTACCCACCTACCACTTTATTTATTTTTTTTTTTGTAGAGAAAGGAGGGGTGAAAGAAGTTATAGTTCGGAAATTGAAGAAATTTTGGAGGGCGGGCTGACCGCCTAGCTAAGCTAACAGTGTGTTAGGGTTGTGTCATGGGTTAGTCATTGTCTATCGCAGCTACCAACCTCCCCCTCCCCCACCCACCCGCCCCCTCATCCTGTTCTGCCAACCCCCCCCCCTACCCCACCCACCTCGTCTCCCAAGAGTTGCACCATACTATGTAACAATCTCTACGACACCTTAAACCTACAGTATACTCTACGACACCTTAAACCTACAGTATACTCTACGTCACCTTAAACCTACCGTATACTCTACGACACCTTAAACCTACAGTATACTCTACGACACCTTAAACCTACAGTATACTCTACGACACCTTAAACCTACAGTATACTCTACGACACCTTAAACCTACAGTATACTCTACGACACCTTAAACCTACAGTATACTCTACGACACCTTAAACCTACAGTATACTCTACGACACCTTAAACCTACAGTATACTCTACGACACCTTAAACCTACAGTATACTCTACGACACCTTAAGCCTACAGTATACTCTACGACACCTTAAACCCACAGTATACTCTACGACACCTTAAACCTACAGTATACTCTACGATACCTTAAACCTACAGTATACTCTACGACACCTTAAACCTACAGTATACTCCCTAATGACCTAAGAATAATACGCCATTCTAACTGCTTGTATGTGACCCCTCTATAACTAACAGTGAAATTATAATATTGAAACTTGCACGGATATTTTTACCTTTGTTTTCTCCTATACTTAGGAGAAGAAAAATATCACACGATTTTTTTCAGAATCTGAGACTCCTAGTTCATATTATTATTAAGGGGACGTTGAAATAACACCAACCAGACAGTCATCACCCTTCCCTCTCTCTCTTTTACTGATGGTTCTGTGCAGACAAACACAGGTAGAACAGGCTGTGCAATTGTAATATATAAAGAAAAAGAGATGACAGTATCAAACAAACAAAGGCTGAACAACTGGGCCAGCACAACACAAACTGAACTAACTGGAATCTACTTAGCCACAGACTACCTTAAAGAAAATGGAGGTGGGGTGATATTCTGTGACTCTCAAAGTGCTTTGAAATCAATGAACAGCCCGTCAGGCTCTATGTCTAAAGTTGGAATCAGGTATCATGACCGTGCTTATAGACTGGCCAATGAGGCATGTAAGAAAGAAAATGTTGACCGTGACCTTGGCCTGTCCAATGCTGTAATTAAAAACATTTAAGTCAGAATCATGAACTCTGATCTAGAAGAAGTGAGAAATGCAGAGAGAACTGACAGTTGTAGCACTAGTAAATATGACAAATTTTGTGACAAGAGGTACCAGTATGGCCAGCATAAGGACAGAACCAGACAATGTGATGTAGTCGTGGCCAGAATTAGGCTAGGATACAGACACATCTGGCAAGTTAGTAACGCTGTACCCATACCGGAACACTCAGCATGTAAACTTTGTGATAAACCTTTAAAGCATACACTTGAACACTATATTATTGAATGTGACACTGTCAAAGACTTCAGGCCACCTGACTTATTGTATCTTGAACTATGTAATTACTTCATGGAATCAAGTGTGCTTGAGGACATTCTTGCTGTTTATCCCAAATTTGCTAGCCCACACTGATTAGTCTTCAATTAGAATATGACTCCAATGTATGTGATCCACTGACCTATATATACTGCTAATGAATATGATGTATTTCCTTCTTTGTGTACGAACCTCTGTCCTGCATGGCAGTGAACAGTGGCATTACCCACATGAATCTGACCTATATATAGTGTCAATGAATATGATGCATTCTTTGTGTACGAACCTCTGTCCTGTATGGCAGTGAAAAGTGACATTACCCACATGAATCTGACCGACGTATATGTATGTATGTGTGCGTGTGTGTATATATATGTACATGTATATGTGTATGTATATATGTATATGTATGTATATGTGTGTGTGTGTGTGTACATATATGTATATGTACTGTCAATGAATATGATGCATCCTTTGTGTACGAACCTCTGTCCTGCATGGCAATGAACAGTAACATTACCCATATGAATCTGACCTCTATACATTTATAGCTGTTAATGAATATGATGTATTTCTTTGTGTATGAACCTCTGTCCTGCGTGGCAGTGAGAAGTGATACCACCCTCAGTGTCAAGACCTGACTGAATTACTCAGAATAGGCAAACTGTACTACAAGCTCTGCCAATAAATTTGCCTGTGGCTAAGTAGATTCCAGTTAGTTCAGTTTGTGTTGTGCTGGCCCAGTTGTTCAGCCTTTGTTTGTTTGACACTATCATCTCTTTTTCTTTATATATTACAATTGCACAGCCTGTTCTACCTGTGTTTGTCTGCACAGAACCATCAGTAAAAGCATAACATTCACTTGATTTAATACTCTCTATGTGTCTGTTAATAGTTTCTAGTGTGACACATCTCACCACATCGGTGTTTAACATTTGCTTACTACCAACAGGAGTGTAATTAATAGGAACTGATATGTCCAGCCAAGGAGGAATGGCATAACATCATCATTGTAATCTCTGAATGAGTGCGTGACACTTGACAGGATAGCACCGGTTAATCTTAACTCCGCCCCGCCGTCACCGAACGTCCAGTGTCAGAGGAGTTAGCAGTTAGTATATAAATTCTTCTCTTCTCCACCTCGTCTTCTTTTCCTCCTTCTGTTCCTCCTCCTCCACACCTCTGAATAGCTGTTGTTTTAGTTCCCTCATCTTATTATTATCAGCCTTTTTTCCTCCATATTCTATTCACCTTCTATTTTCCTCCTCCCTCTGTTCTAAATAGCTGTTTAGTTTTTAGTTTTCGTCTTCTTATTCTTCTTCTTCTTATTCTTCTTCTTATTCTTATTCTTCTTTTTCTGTGCTTCCTCATTATTCATCTTATTATTTATTTTTGTTTCCACGTGACTCCTGAAGTTGACTTGGGACATTTGATAAATCCCATACACCCCGGCGGCCACGTGTGTTTCAATGTTTTTTACTTTACATCGAGATGAGGTAATGCGAGTGTGGGTGCCGGGGCTATCGAGCCCCCACCCACCCCCACCAACCCCCACCCACCCTCACCCACCCTCACCAACACCACTACCAACCCCATATATGGGACAGGGTAGGATGTCTAGTGCCTTTACCGACAGACAATAACTAACCCATGACACAACCCTAACACACTATTAGCTTAGCTAGGCGGTCAGCCCGCCCTCTCTTACCTCCTCCTAAATTTCTTCAATTTCCGAACTATAACTTCCTTCCCCCACCTCTAATCTCCCTTCACCCCTCCTTTCTCTACACAAAAAAAAAGAAAAAGAAAAACCTCAACCCACAGCTCACACCAACGCACTCACCATCAATCAATGCCAAGACACTTTCCAAAACTCACTACCAACACCCCCTCATCCCCCACTTGCCACCCTATCAACCGCCCCTCCCTCTCATCACCTTCCCGCCTCTCAGTTGCACTATCAGGCAGCAGGTGGTTTCTGTGACAGCTCCGGTGTTTGGCCAGTTACTCCCATTGCTTACGTGATGATGTACTGTACCATTAATTACCCTAACCTCAATAACCTAACTACCCCAACTAACCCGATCTAACTAGCCTAATCTAACGTATCATAACCCTAACTAATCTAAGCCTAAATTAACCTAATTAACCCAACTTTCATATGTGTGTGTGTGTGTGTGTGTGCGCGCGCGCGCGCATCATGAGGTGAGGAAAATGCAACAAGGAACCAGGAGAAGAACATCACAGTAAATAAAAAAAATAACAACTATTTACTTTATGTCCCCTGTAAGTTCCTAACCAGTAATAACAGGTACACGGATATACACATCATACACTCTCCGCGACGCCCTTGCCTTACTGTCTCACTTGGCTACTTCTAATTTGTTTTTATTGTGAAGTTCAACAGTCAAATTAAGAGCTTACCTTCAGAGTTTAACTGATTGTTGTCTTCCTCTACAAGTGGCCACATTACGAGCTGTAGTGTCACAGGAGCGCGCTGCTGTGTCACAGGAGCGCGCTGCTTGGTGTCTGGAGAGTCACTGCTTGCACGAGTAGTTCTTAGTAACTCCCGACCCTACCTCGCACAGCTGGCTGGCAACAACGACGCGTGGGACTGCCTGGCATAAGAACATAAGACTGGAGGAAACTGCAGCGGGCCTATTGACCGATACTGGGCAGTCCCGTTTATACCCAACCCCTATTGCTCATATAAGCATCCAACCTATGTTTAAAGCTATCCAGCCTATTCGAGTTAATGATGATATTTGGTAACTTGTTCCATTCATCCACTACTCTGTTTCCAAACCAGTGTTTGCCTATTTCACGCCGAAATCTAAATTTGTCTAATTTGAAACCATTGTTACGAGTTCGCTCCTGGTTGGATAGTTTGAGTACTTTTGTAATGTCCCCTTTGTTTAACCCTGACTTCCATTTATACACCTCTATCATGTCGCCCCTCACTCTACGTCTCTCGAGGGAGTGCAAATTAAGATGCTTCAACCTGTCTCTGTACTCAAGGTTCCTAATGCCCGGGATTAGTCTTGTCATTCTCCTCTGGATTCTTTCCAAGGATTCTATATCCATTCTGTAATAATGTGACCAGAACTGAACTGCGTAATCCAGGTGAGGTCTCACAAGCTCTAGATATAATTTTAAGATGACCTCACTAGTCTTGTAACTAACACTCCTTTGTATGAACCCAAGTACTTTATTAGCCTTGTTACTCGCAAAAACACATTGTTTACGTGGCTTAAGATTCCTACTTATCTTTACTCTTAAATCTCTCTCGCAGTCGGATTCCACAATGGCATCGTTGTTCATCTGGTAACTGGTTTCCCTGTTTGCATCTCCTATACTGAGTACTTTACATTTGTCCACATTGAATTTCATCCTCCATTTTTCCCACCATTCGAAAAAGTTGTTTAGATCTTCCTGTAGTTTTGCAGAGTCCTCGTCAGATTTAATTACACTTCCTATTTTAGTGTCATTAGCAAATTTACTTATGTTGCTGTCTATGCCGATATCTATGTCGCTTATGTATATAATAAATACTAATGGTCCAAGTACTGAGCCTTGGGGAACTCCACTAGTGACGTTGCTCCAATGCGATTTAGTACCGTTTATGCTCACTTGCTGTTTTCTGTCCCGTAACCACGCCCTAATCCATTTAAGGATATTACCTTTGATGCCATGCGCTTCTACCTTTCTAATTAGTCTTTCGTGGGGGACTCTGTCGAAGACTTTGCTAAAGTCGAGATATACCACATCATAATTGTGCCCCTCATCTACCGATTCGAAAACTGATGAAAAGAATGTTAATAGATTAGTTAGACATGAACGCCCGCTTGTGAAGCCATGTTGGGAATCATTGATCAACTTGTGCTTCTCCAGGGGGTTTCTAATAGAGTTTGAAATGATTGATTCTAGTAATTTGCCTACTATTGATGTTAGACTGATTGGGCGGTAGTTAGAGGATAGTGATCTATCCCACTTCTTGAAAATCGGTATTACATTCGCTATCCTCCAGGATTCTGGTGCTGCACCTGTTTTTTATGGCATGTTAAACAACTTTGCTAAGGGCATACTAAGCTCTTCCTTACATTCCTTTAATACTCTGGCAAATATGTCATCGGGACCAGGTGATTTATTAGGCTTCAGTTTGTCTATTTGCTTATTAACATCGTTACTAGTCACTACTATCTCGCTTAATTTGTTTTCTTCACTGTCTCTGAATAGAGTCGGTGCCTCGGGTATCATGTTTAAATTTTCGGTGGTGAAAACTGTTGAAAATTATTTATTCAGATTATTGCTCATTTCTCTGTCGTTATCAGTTAGCTCGCCGGTATCTGAACGTATTGGTTCAATCTTATCTCTTGTTTTAGTTTGATACATTTGGTAGAGTCCTTTGGGGTTTGTCTTCGCCTCCCCTGCTATCTTCAGTTCATAATTTCTCTTTGCTTTTCTTATCTCGGTCTTAACCCAACCGGCCAACACCTTATAATTTCGCTACGATTTATCCTTCTACCTATAGCCTTCCTTTGGCCAATAATGTTCTTTAAATAATTATTTATCCATTTAGGGTCATTGTTGTCTGATCTGAGTTTTTTGTATGGTATGTTCTGCCTTTGTGCATTAAGTAACTCATTATTTAAATTGTCGTGGAACTCGGCAATCTCAGATCTCGTTATCAGGTCGGTGTCATCTGTCAGGTTCACACCCAAGCGTGACACCCCCTCTCTCTGCTGCCTCTTTAAACTATCAAAGTTTGCCCTTCTGAAATCTGGGGCTTTAATGGAATTCTCCTTACGTTTGACCTGAAAATCTAACTGGAATCTAATTTCTTTGTGATCACTGTTTGCAAGTTCGTTCCCTACCTCGACACTGCTACTGAGGTTTTCTCTGTTCGACAGAACTAAATCGAGTATATTATTACCCCGGGTGGGTTCGGTTATATGTTGACTTAGGAAACAGTCCTGGATCGTTTCGAGGAAATCCTCTGATACTGATTTACCCGTAAGGTCAGTCCAATCTATTTGGCCAAGGTTAAAATCGCCTACTATACAGACTTTGTTGTGTATGGAAGCCCTGCGCATTTCATCCCAGATAAGTCGCTCATTAAGTCTATCAAGATTGGGAGGTCTATATATTACTCCCATGAGTAATTTTTCCCTACCGTCGATTAATTCTATCCAAATTGTTTCTGTATTCCGCTCAGTTTTTATTTCCTTATTTATTTCACACTTCAGATTATCCCTGACATAGATTGCTACTCCTCCTCCTTTCCTGGATGGCCTATTGGTAGGGAACAATTTGTAATCCGCAATTTGGTATTCGACAGGTAACTCACGTGAGTCTAGGTTGATCCATGTTTCAGTGAATGCTATTATATCGATTTTTTCGGTACATACCAAGACCCTAATATCATCCATTTTGTTTCTCATACTTCTACTGTTCGTGTAGTAGACATTTAAGGTAGTCGTGTTCTGAGTCCTCCATTTACCTCGTTTAGGTTTAAACTCCCTGTCTAATTTAGTTTTGTCATCATTCCTAACACTATTTCCCTGTAATATTTCACTTTGTTTACCCGCTCCCACTGCAGTCTCCTCCACCCCCTTGCCCATATGTTCCCCTAGCAGTTTAAATTCTTCGATATCTCTCAACTTATCCTGCTTTGACTTACCCTCCTATAATAGTCTATTTAATACAGATAAGCCCAGTGGTTAGGTGGTAATACGAGGACAGAGTGTAAAGGTCTGCCAGGGATGATAACTTGCAGGAAAACTTGCAATGCAAAGAAGTGCAGTTGGTTATGACTTGCATGAATACAGGAGCGTTAATCAATTAGACCTAGCGGACTACGCTGTTACTTAGAACCTACAGTGCATGCTTTTAGACACACGCACACACACGGGCCTGCAAGCACACACGTACACACATTTGCATACATGAATGCATACATACAAAAGACATACAGTTCAAACAGCAAACACACACATATACGTACATGAACACACATATACACATGATAGACCCTATAACACACACACACACACACACACACACGAAAGAATGTAAATAAACACAACCTCATCACTTCACTTCCACGTATCAGAAACGGCACTCAAGAAGTTACCGAGCTTGTTTGTTTATTTCATTTGTGTCTTGTATTTTTGTGCGGTGTGTTAGGCACTTATATTTTGTTTATGGTTTGGGATGGTGTACACGAAGCTTGGCTACTGCTCTGTGTGTGTGTGTAATAATAATAATAATAATAATAATAATAATAATAATAATAATAATAATAATAATAATAATAATAATAATAATAATAATAATAATAATAATAATAATAATAATAATAATAATTATTAACGGTTTATTGAAAAAGTTCTGCAGCCCGAAGGCTGAAAATATACATTGGACATAAATGACTTATTACATACGTTGACATTGGTGGTTTAACAAAAGCCTTCATTAGAGAAAGGTAAAGGAATATACAGTGAACATACAGATTAATGTTTACAGTGGAGGTCACGTAGATCTTGTGTGCTGAGGTGTTGAACAGCAAACACGTACAGGGTATGTCATGGTTTTCCTCGTAAAGGTGTAAGAGTGGATTATATTATATAAAGATTATAATATATTGTGTTTCTTATATTTCTTACCGTACAGTTCGATACCTTCACACTGGTTACTTACAGGAGATTATGGTGTATCTACGTAACTCACTCCACCACCCGACATTCCATGATTTATACTTGATAAATGATGATTTAATGAGTTCCATTAATTTCCAACATCCATTTAAGTTATTGGTTATACTTTGTCATAACCAATTAGTCATTACCTTAAGTAATAATAAGATAGGATCACAGATACGGGCAGATAATTGCACTTACATTTATTTGTCAAGCTTCCATTCAATGATTTACAATTTGCATGGATATATGAGTCACTCACATTTACGCTGTAATAAAATTAATCTTCTAAAAGCGGGAATTTTCAACTTGGGGACACATGTGATTACTCTACTATGGGTATGACTTAACAGAGCCTTAATTGTTCAAGTGATTCCTTTACTGTCAGCCTGGATTACTTTTGTTGCAACAAGAACTTCTTTCCACGGAGAATAACAAAAAAAAAATACTCTTGGGTTACCACACACAGTCTCGCGTCACTGTAGACGGTTGTTGTGGCAAGAACTGGTAAGCGTGACTTGATTAACCACATAGGTGCAATAGACCAGCCTGGATTGTTTTTGTCGCAACTAGGCTTCCACACGTGATATTTCCACGTGGATAAAAAACCTAGGTTAACACACTTAGTTTCGTGTCGATCACGGTCACTGTAGACGGGTGTCGTGCAGGAGAACTCTGTAAGCGTGAATTGGTTAACCATTTACTGTAGGTTTGATAGGCCAGCCTGGATTGTTCTTGTCGTAACCAGGCATCCACACATGATATTTCCACGGGGATAACGAACCTAGGTTAACACACTTAATCTCTTGTCGACGACGGTCCACAGGGCGGGGTGGCGGTGGAGGACTCTGTGTG